AAATCCTTTGATTTAAGGTGGGGCCTTGTGGGAATTTAGTACCTGTTTTGGTGGGGCTGGAGAACCCAAAGCCTTGGGATGCCACACTCCCTCCACCGGAGCTAAAGGTGCCCATCGGCTTCTGTTCCTCAAAGGAAGCGGTGCCAAAGCCAAAACTTTTGGCCCCGCTGTTTCCAAAAAGAGTCGATGTGTCTGCGATGGGGAAGGGAGTGAAAAATTTAAAAAATGGCTGCTCCTTCCCTGCCAGGATAAAAACCACAAGGCGGTCCTCGACTTACGACAGTTCATTTAGTGACTGTTCGAAGTTACGATGGCGGGGGAGAGGGAAGGGATCGCCACCGTCTTTTGCACACGATTTAGGTAAAGGTTCCCCTCGCACATATGTGCTATTCATCGTTCCCGACTCTAGGGGGCGATGGTGCTCATCTCCGATTCAAAGCCCAAGAGCCAGCGCTGTCCGAAGGCGTCTCCGTGGTCATGTGGCCGGCATGACTCAATGCCGAAGGCGCACGGAAGGCTGTTCCCTTCCCACCAAAGGTGGTCCCTGTTTTCCTACTTGCATTTTTTTACCTGCTTTCCAACTGCCAGGTTGGCAGAAGGCTGGGAGCTCACTCCGTTAAGCAGTGCTAGGGATTCGAACCGCTGACCTGCCAACCTTTCTGATCCACAAGCTCGGCGTGTTAGCCACTGAGCCACCACATCCCTACACGCAATTTAGGTTTAGATTAAAAGGTCTTTTATGTTGGCTGGTTGTGCGTCGCTGGTCAGCTGCAGAAATCTGCTCCGTGAAAGTGGCCCTTGACTTACCACAACAGAGGCCCAAATTTGTGCCGCTGTGCGAGACAGGTGCTAAGTGAGCTCTGCCCTGCTCTACGAACTCTCTCGCCGCAAATTGCTAAGTGGATCACTGCCGTTGTTAGCTCAGTAATGTGGTTGTTAAGTGAATCGGGCTTCCCCCGTTGACATGGCTTGTCAGATCGTCGCAAAAGGGGATCACGTGACCTCAGGGATACTGCAACCGTCGTAAGTATGAGTTGGTGGCCAGGCGCCTGAATTTTCACCACGTGACCCTGGGCAGGCTGCAACAGTGGTGAAAAACGGCCGTACGTCACCGTTACCAGTGCTGTTGCAACCTTGAAACAGTCACTAAATGGATGGTCGTAAGTCCAGGACTACCCGTGCAATTGCGTTGGATACATGATGCATAATGACAATAAACGCTATGCGAGCCTGCCCTGGAGATCTGCAGCCTGCAAAGAGGCCGCTGTCCGACTGGGTGGCCGTAGTGGCTGAGCCCCCAGTTCTACTTACTTGGATTGGCCGATGAGCCAAAACCGCCGGTGGGGCAGCCGAAAGGGTTCTTGTTGGCCGCCTCGTGACTCGGTTTCCCGCCCAGGCCGCTGAAAAAGCCCCCCGTTCTCCCACCGCCACCGGCTCCAAAGAGACCCCCGCCGGAAGAGGACGGCTGTGAAAGACCAAAGGAAGGATGTTAAGCCTGTCCGATTCAAACAAAGCCTTAGAATAGAATAACAGAAGAGGCCTTCGGAGGTCTTCTAGTCCAACCCCCCCTTCCCCCCCCCGCCCCCGTTCAGGCAGGAAGCCCAACCCCACTTCAGACAAACGGCTGTCCAACATCTTCCTATAAGCTCCCAGGGTTGTAGCCTTGCTAGGTATTCTGGCACAGAATAGTCGCAACAGGATAATAGAATTGGAAGGGACCTCGGAGGTCTTCTAGACCAACCTCTGCTCAGGCAGGAGACCCTCCTACACCATGCCGGACAAAGGCGTGTCCCGACTTTTGTAATCTCAGAAG